TGCGGATGCGCAGGTGCCTGTACGGGACGAAGTCTGGCTGCTCGTGACTGTGGGTTCGTGCTCCTTCAGGTACATGTTCAACATCACACCGCCCCACGACGGGTCCAGCGACACCACGAAGGTCAGGATCTTCCAGTCCTGGCTGAGACGGAGACAAGAGAGGGCGTCAATAAAACCGGTTCTACAGGTTCTACCAGGAGGTCCTACAGGAGTCCTACCAGGGTTCTACAGGTAGTCCTACAGGTTTCTACAGGAGTCTACAGGTTCTACAGGAGGTCCTACAGGTTCATACAGGAGGTCCTACAGTTCTACAGGAGGTCCCTAAATCAGGTGTCTACATGAGGTCTTACAGGGTTCTAACCCAGGTTTACAGGAGGTCCCTACAGGTTCTACAGGTTCCTATCAGGAGGTCCTACAGGTTCTACCAGGTTCTACAGGAGGTCCTACAGGTTCCTACAGGTTCTAACAGAGGTCCTAACAGGTTCTACAGGTTCTACAGGTTCTACAGAGGTTCCTACAGGAGCCTATCAGAAGGTTCCTAAACAGGAGGTTTCTACAGCAGGTTCCCTACAGCAGGTTCTATCAGCAGGGTTCTACAGCAGTCCTACAGCAGGTTCTAATCAGCCAGGTTCATACAGAGGTTTACCAGGAGGTCCTACCAGAGGTTCTACAGGAGGTCCTACCAGGAGGTCCTACAAAGGAGGTCCTACAGGAGGTTCTACAGGAGGTCCTACCAGGAGGTCCTACAGTTCTACAGGAGGTCCTACAGGATCCTACCAGGAGGTCCTACAGGAGTTCTACAGGAGGTCCTACAGGAGGTCCTACAGGAAGGTCCTTACAAAGGAGGTTCCTACAGAGGTTTCTACCAGGAGTTTACAGGTCCTACAGGTCCTACAGGAAGGTTTCTACCAGGAGGTTCTACAGGGTTCGTTTGTTAGGGAGCATCAATTGTTTTTAACAGTTTTTAATTTGTAACATAAAACAAATTAATCACAACACGATGTTTTTATTTCATCGTGGCAGCCCTTAATAACGTCTGTATTCTTTTATACAAGTTAATAAATATATAAACTTCTGCTCAGATATTATATCCTGATTATTTATCATAAAGTTATCTAACACTGCATAGAGATTAAAGGTAATTAACTTTAAGGTTTTAATTGAGATTATAAATCAGTAAGGAAAACTTTTATTTTCTGCAGCTGACTTAAAGATTTTTTTTGGTTTTAAGATAAATAACATTAGAAATAAAGTTTATTGTCCAGAACAGACAAAGTAAGTAACTTGATAAATATCTAATAAACTGTGAACGTTTAAAAATCAGAGATAAAACGTTTTGTTGTGTATTATTTAACCAGGAAATATTAAGTTTAAATATATTAAAATACAGTTAGATATAGTAAATAAGTTAAATAAAGTTAAATAAAGTTAAATACAGTTAAATATAGTTAAAATATAGTTAAATACAGTTAAATATAGTTAAATATAGTTATAATATAGTTAAATACAGTTAAATACAGTTAAATACAGTTAAATATAGTTAAATATAGTTATAAAGTTAAATATAGTTAAATACAGTTAAATATACGTAAATACAGTTAAATATAGTTAAAAATAGTTTAAAATAATTAAAATATAGTTAAATAAAGTTAATATAGTTAAATACAGTTAAATAAGTTAAATACATTAAATATAGTTAAATACAGTTAAATACAGTTAAATTAAAGTTAGAATAAAGTTAAGATAAAGTTACAATACAGTTAAATACAGTTAAATATAGTTAAATACCAGTTAAATAATTATAATAAAGTTAATAAGTTAAATAAAGTTTAGTGTGCATTGACCTGTTTGACCTTCATTCTAACCGCTTCACCACTTTTAAAATGCACACATATCAAGATTAAAACACCAGTGAACCTACAAGAACACTTTATATTATTTATTATTAATACTGTAAAAGAGATTAATTATGTTTTATTTCTCCCTTTTATTCAGACTCCAATGAGGTCATCGCTAATGCTAACGGAGAATAGCTCAGCAAGGTCACAGTGAATCTGTGGTTAAACCGTTAAAATAACTCCCGTTTAAACTCCACCCGGAGGCTCAACCGAAGGCTCCACGGTACCCTGACTGCTCGCCCGGTGTCCGCCCGGCGGCAGCAGCGGAGAACCAGTCGCCGGTTCCGGCGGCGGGAGAACGGAGCAGCGCCAGAGAAGCCTACGAGAGCCGCCATCTTCCTAACTGAGGAGCCGAGAAGAACCGGAAGGACCTTATATAGAGGAACCGGAAGTGACCTTATATAGAGGAACCGGAAGGACCGCAGCGGCTCCTTAACTGCGTCACCAACCGGAATTATTTGAACTACAAAACGAAAATATAATGGTTTATATTATTATCTATAATATATATAAAATATATTATAATGTTTATATTATAATATCTAATAATATATATATATATATATATTAGATATATATAAAACATTATATATATATATATATAAATGTTTTATATTATAATATCTAATATATATAAATATATATATTATTATTAGATATTATAATATAAACATTATTTATAATAGTTAGAATTATAATATAAAACATTTATATACTGATATATTATATAATGTTATATTATTATCTATAATATATATAAATATATATATAATGTTTATAATATAATATCTAATAATATATATAAATATATATTATTAGATAATATATATACATTTATATATATATATACTATAATGTTTATATTATAAGTATCTAATAATATCATAATATATATATACTATTAATTAGAATATTATAATATAAACATTATTTTTATATAGTTAGATATTATAATATAAACATTATATTATAATATATATACTAATGTTTATATTATAATATATAACTATATATAAATAATGTTTATATTATAATACTAATAATATATAAATATATATTATAATGTTTATATTATAATATCTTAATAATATATATTAAAATATATATATATAATGTTTTATATTATAATAAAAGACTATATATAAATAATGTTTATATTATAATATCTAATAATATATAAATATATATATAGAATGTTTATATATATATCTAACTATATATAATATATATATAATGTTTATATTATAATTCTAACTTATATATAAATAATGTTTATATTATAATAATCTACATATCTAAATATATATTATAAAATATTAGATATTATAATATAGAAATATATATAGATAGAGTATTATAATATTTACAAATATTAACTATATATAAAATAATTTTATATTACAATATCTAACTATATATAGAATAGATATTTATATTATTACAATATATAACTATATATATAATAATGTTTATATTACAATATCTAACTATATATAAATATTATAATATAAAATAATGTTATATATAATATCTAATAATATATTAAGAAACAGAAATAACTTATGGCATGCAAGTTAGGAAATTAATCTTTGAATATATATTATATATATATATTGAATATATTGAATGAATCTTTGAATATATGGAATGAATCTTTGAATATATTGAATGAATCTTTGAATATATTGAATTCAAGGATTCAAGAATTAATTCAATATATTTATATTCAAAGATTAATTTCCTGAACGGCATGCCATAGTTATTTCTGTTTCTATATATATATATATTGTTAGATATAAACGACATTCCATAAATATATATATATCTGCAGTATGTGACTAAATGAAATGAGTAATAGTGATTTTTTAAGTATTACATAAAACAACAATGCGTTGTAAAGAATGTAAGAATATAAATAAAAGTGTCACAGCAGCAGAAGCACAATAATTACTGTATTTGTTATTAATATTAATAATATAAATTAAAAGATGAAGTATTAAATTATATATACAGCAACATCAACAGTAAAGGTAGAAACAACAGATAATTAGCTGTTAGCGAACTCTGTTACTTCTAATTGTGCGCTGTTCCTGCACAAATGTACAAAATAAAAGACCAAAAAAAGTGAGGAAGTTAAAATAAAAACGAAATGTTTGACTTGACGTCCACCTCCAGCTCCCAGACTCCTGAAATGTTCCTGAATACCTCCACCAGACTGGATTACTTGTACATACGTCCTCCACTGCTCCTTATTGGTTATGATTTTCATTATTTCCTGTTTTATTTTGTAATACTTACCTCACCTATCCCTCTTTAATGCTTCCCTCCCTTCTGTATTCACTCTCTGTGTCCCCCTTTCTCTTTCCAGCCTTTAAAATCTGTGTTTTTGGGACCTTTGTTTAGTTCTTCTGGACCCTCCTGGACTCCCTCACCCGCCCATAAACCTCCTGTTACTGTGATTCATGTAATAAATCAGTGGTCTGCATTTGGGTCCTCTCTCCTTACCTTTACCTGCTTGTGACGACCTCAAACTTACAATAAAAAAGGACATTAACTTGTGTAATGTGTGTGCTGTAATTCTCTCTCTGATTATGGGACAGCAGATAAAGATGAATAATAACAGAATAATTGTAGAAAACATTTAAAAACACTTTCTGTGATTGAAATTTAGCGTTTCTCTTTAAAGGGGAGGACTCGGTGTGATCTCACGGTCAGAGTCCAACTGGAGATATTCAGAGATATTCTGGTTGATGAAGGTAAGTGATAAAAGATCTTGTTATTGGCCGACTGTATTTGTTCTTTAAATGCTTTTATAGTATTTTTAAACATTTATATAAAAGTGCTTTAAATACTCTACAAGTACAAACAGAACCATAAAGTAAACAGTGAAAAATGTCGATATAAACAGTTCTTTTATATTATAATTCAGATTTAAAGTAAAAGCTGCTTATTATCTTTGTTAATGTTTGTGTGATTTATATTTAATGACAGAAATCTATTTTATTTATTGATCCGTTAATAGTTAACATATCTGGGTTAAAAACAAACAAAGGGAGATTTAGTTGACCCTATTTGCTGTTGCACAGAAAGACTATGGACCGATTATGTTTGTTGAGCTGTTCTTTTTTCCAAGTTGCAAATGACATTAATAAAGCACGAAATATTAGTTTTAAAAAAGGCTTTTTCCAAAAGAATCTGAGCTCTTTTTTCAGTTATGGAGTCTCAGTATCAGCAGTTCGGGTCGCCTGATAACATCTCGGCCCGCGGAGAGCAAAGAATGACTCTACAAACAGGTAAAAAACGTACATTTCATCTGATTTTGATCCGTTTATTTCCTCCTTATAATAATGTGTTTATTGTAGGTTTGAAGAGGATGTTGGTTTACGTCCTGTATGGAGTCCTGGTGCTGCTGCTGTTAATCCTGCTGATGGTCACTGGGATTAAATGTACGCTGATGCACTCACTAATTCACTATATTCACATTGTTTTATCTCATCACTTAACAACTGTCGTATCTCAAAGTCTCCCAGTTGAACAAGGAAGTGACTGATGTCAAACTTCTGCTCGAGAGAATCGGCAACGGAGGATCGGCGTCCGCGCACAGTTCAGGTCGGGAACAGGTCGGGATGTAAAGATGAAGCCATAACAGTTGACGTCCTTTATAAGACTTTTATGTTTTCCAAACTCAAGGTGCTCGACCTGACGAGAAAGTCCTCGTAAAGCCGCTTGTCCCCGTTCAAGGTAAACACCGGATACCTTAAAGGTTCAATATGTGACTTAATAGTGACAATGGTGGCCATTAGGTGAACTGCAAGTTAGCGTCCTGGGCGTCAGCCAAAAGTGACAAAAACTAAACTGAACGCTGGAAAATAAACGACAATTATATTTAGAATAATGTTACCATATATCTGCAATGTTCCTATATTTTATTTGGATCGTTGGACGGCATTCATCATTCAGTGGTTTTACTCAATCAGACTCTTTAGACTTTCTCAATCTCCGTCCCTTCAGGAACGTGTCGGGAAGGATGGTCGTCTTTCCAGAGGAGCTGCTACCTGCTGTCCAACGCCGGCGTCACCTGGAGCAAAGCGGAGGAGCAGTGCCGAACACACGGAGCACATCTGCTGGTTCTGAACACGGTGGAGGAACTGGTGAGGCTCCGGTGTTTGAATGAGACATTTACTTATTTAAATATTGGGACATTTATAGCCTATAAGATCATTTTCAATGTGATTAAACACAAACTCAACAATAAGTATAATAAAAACAGAATAATAATTTACATTAAAAATCAAAACAGGAAGCACCAGATCATTCTTCACTACATTATTAAATATTATTATATAGATATTATATATATATTACAATATAATTATAAATTATACATTATATATATTAAATAAATATAGTACATTTATGTCCTTATTAATTAAAATATTTATACTAAATAAATACAGGTAACAGGAAAGAAACTGTCTTAATTTAATTTTTAATTTTCAATTGAATGAATGAATAAAATATCCTTGAATCCTTTTAATCTATGATGTAAAAATCCATCAAATGAACTACTAAGTATTTTTTTATGTTAATTTTATGGGTAAGACATATAAATAAGAAATAAAAACCAACAACAAACTCAACATAACTGAGGAGAATATTAGATAAATTAAAAAGTCATGTTTTAGCTCTTTGTTTTTGACCCTATATCCTTAATAATGTCCATTTTCAGCCGTGACCTTTTAACACATTCACCTTTTTGTTGCCATTGTTTTATGTTTCGGGGCTGCAACCATAAGATTGTAACACTCTTTTTTAGCTTTGGGTCAAATATAGATAAGTTTAAGATCAATAAAGACTTGTTTGTGTTTCTAGGACTACATTTCCCAGATAGTTACAATCAGATACGGCTACTGGATTGGACTCGTGGAGCGAGAACACGAGGGCCACTGGAGCTGGGTGGATGGAACCGACTACAACTCAACGCCAACGTGAGAGAAGCTTTAAAGAAATGACTGTTTTTATAAGTTATATTTATATTTATATGCTAACTGCTGCTGCCTCTGTAGTTTCTGGGATGTTGGTCAACCTGACAACTGGGACTACATAGAGAGCGGCGAGGACTGCGGGCAGCTTCACGGCTCCGAGCAACGCAAACGCAAACTGTGGAACGACGCCGACTGTAACCTGGCGCACCGGTACATCTGTGAAAGCGGAGCGGGTCAAACAGCAACACCACAGACCTGAGATTATGTTTTTAATATTATTTCATTATAACGTCCAGAAGGTGTGTGAGGCTTTTATTGGACAATAAAACAACAACTGTGAATATAAAGACGCTTGTTCTCCTTTATTTATTTAATATAAATAATAATAAATAATAAAGACACACTTCCTTTATAACGTAGTGGTCAGGACCCTCCACTAGGGGGCGACAAAGCTACATGAGGGGTTGTGAGGCCTTCTTGATTTTAAGAAAACTTAAAAAATACAAAATTGCATCACCAAAATTGATTTGATTGCATTAGTATTTTTTACGTAGTGCCAGATACTCCCTCTGGACACCTTCGTGGCTAAAAATGCCTCATTGACTTCCATTAAAACCACATTTTTCAATCCCACTGCCATTACAGTATAAAACCATGCATTCTGTAATGTTAGCATTTCATTTTGAAGAAAAGTAGTAACAACAAGCATTTAAATGCAATCAAATCAATTTTGTTGCTAATCTTTGACATATCCAAGACTCTAATCACCACCAAAGCCCCATCCCCCTACTGTTTATTATATGAAAAATAATTTTTTTAAAAAGTTTTTAAAGGGTTAAAATCCAGAATATTATTTAATGTTTGGTAGTTTTGAGCAAGTTTGAAGTTGTTTAAGAGATTTATGGAAAAAAAGCAGAAAAAATATTGATGTATGAGGAATTAATAGCAGTTTATTTGTGCACAGCTCAGATTAACATACATACAATTCAAACTGTCCAGGATGACACAGATTATTTCCAGGATATTTGGTCATTTTAATAAATTCCAGGTGTTTTCTAGGACTGAAAATCTACTCTCTAAATGTCCAGGTTTTCCAGAACTTGTGGGAACTCTGATACTCGCTGCAGTATGTATGGTTCTTATGTAACCCGGCCCAGCGAGGTGCAGTGGAGAGCGGTGGGAGGTCTGCCTGTTTACACAGCTGTGTGTGAGCTGAAAGTTATTTTAAATGCAACTCAAAGAAGGAAAATGCAAACTCAGGAGAAAACAGGGGAAGCACCAGATCATTCTTCACTACATTATTA